AAACAAAGTGTACGCCATCCCAAGGATCAGTCATGACTCACATGTGTGGGTTGCATAAATAAAGAGAGTGGAGAAATTAAGAGTTCCTATTGCACATGTGTAGCTGGGTGAGCATACTTTTTTTTTTAATTTAGATTTAAAGTAATATTTTGACTGTTAAGGCTGGTAAAGACGGTGACTGACATTTGTACAAATTTGGATCTCAATAATCAATACTTGAAATATGATACAGGTGGGGGCATTCTTTATTATAATGAATTTACCTCTAATTTACACCTGTCACAACTGAGGAAATTCTAAAACTAAGCAAAAAGCAATTTGAGTGGTCACTATTAATTATTAAATTTTGCTAAATTGTTATTTCTGATAAACTGAATGAAAATAATTATGCAAGTCTTCTTTTTTAATGTACTTTATTTTACAGACTTGGCCGAACCTGTAATCATGTTGCAGCAGTTCTGCTTAAACTTGATTTTTGCTGGAAGTATGGGATAGTTGTGAAATCAAAGACCTCATTGCCTTGTACATGGAAAGTGGCTGTCAAAGGTTTAAGTTAATCACAGTGAAAAATAATGAGAAAACTCACCTTAAATGGTTGGTTTCTGGAAAAAATAGAGCTTGTTGTGTATAGTACTTGTATCAGTGCTGCTTCCTGTACTCAATGTTTATACCCCGTGACCCCGTGACCTCTCTCTAAGCATCATGGGAAATACAATGGAGGATGGAATTGGAAAGGGGCTTATTCACTCCATGTATGCATGAATGGTAACTGATCAATATTAGGACACTGCAAGGATTGTATAGCATTGAACTTAGACTGTCGACAGTTCTCGGGCCTAATAAAGAGTTACTTATTTTCAAACGCCGGAGACGTTTTAACGAAATACCGAAGGCATTTCAAGCGAGGGCCGTGAGGGCAGAGAGACTGTTATAACCTGTAACGTCCTCGTGCGGCATTACGTGGAAATTGCCTTGCGACGTCCCTGCTGAGACTTGTCACTCAAACTAATACTACCTCCTACTTATTGGTGACCCGTTTCACTCACTAGGCTCATGATTGGTTAATCGGTGTATGACGTAGTTTGAGTGACAAGTGGTAACAGTCTTAATTTTACTTACAAAATTTAGCTTGAAATGGCCTGTAATGAACATTACCCTACAGTGACTAAACAGTAATAGACAAGCTAAATCTCGGACCACACAAACAACTTTTAATATTTTATCTATGAAAAAAAACCTAATATGCATGGTTAAGTAAGTACGAGCCACTTGGCTTACTTTTGACAATTGGCTTTATAGGATACATCCCGAGTACGAAAACTCTATTGGAAATTTCTAGTCTTTGTTCTCATATAATTTGCATACAGATATTGTGCTGGATCATATACGCAAGATGTGCATAATGATTAAATTATGAATATTCATGATTTAATTCGAAAAACATATAGCCCAAAATTCAATAAACGATATTGAAGTCCATATAGCTAAATGGACACGGTGTCTGTCATACTAGCATATGTGGTTTCTTATTAGCAAAGTAAAACTTGGTCTGTGTATCAAGGTTGATGTCACGTGATCTGTCTAAATGTTCTAGAACAAAGACTTCATAAAAAGTTAGATTTTAATATAATAAAAACCCACCTACTGCGTCGACCTATCAAAACATTCACATAACAGTACGGAATTCGAACTTGCGCACATGGCGTAGCGCCACATGACTTCAGACGGCCATAACAATCTCAGCTTGAAATGCCATGTAATGAACATTCTCTCACAGTGACTATAATATATGAAAAATATAAAAAAAAAACGTAGGTAATCGTAATTGTTTTTCTAATGACTTGATAAAATACATATTATAAGCTGCAGTGAATATCGGGAAACGGAAACAACATAAAGTACTTCAACTAGGCACATAATATTCACATAGGCTCCATGTTTCGCTACAAATCACTCAGCTGATGATTGTCATCAGAGACAATACTGTCAACCACTGCAAATAATGAAGCCAGTTTTTAATCATTCTGATTTTTATTTTCGCTTCGTCATTAATCTTCCGCTGTGATGCCTATAATGCCGTATGAGTGAATCACTGAACGGATTCATATAAATTGTTCTATGTTGACTAAAAGTATATTACGTAACGTGACTGTTTGCACTATAATTTATATTTTAAAACATGGCATTAAATGCTTTTAAATCTGTTTATTCGTTCATCTTATTACTCTGAAATTTGGGAACGTATTATGTATGTAACGAGTAGAATAAAGTATGAATTTGTTTGGCATTTGACTAGTTTGTGTGTAAGGATTGAAAGTAACCCACTATAAACATCACACTGTCACCAATATAGTAGCTCGGTTATCAGAAGCATTGAAACTAGGCTATTTTTGAAACGTGATTTAAATTTCACATAGTTACATTACCTACATAAACTGTAAGTTTAACTGTGGCAAACAATAACACTATTCATCTTTCAGGAGCAATTGTTGAGAGGTGCAGTTCCAGCGCTGGATTCAAATCCGGCTTTGTAGCCAACAACAACTGAACCGAATAATCAGACGTCTTCGAGTCAACACTGATCAAGTGAATATGACAGGTGTACTGGGCAAGACCCTCATTTTTGGAATGTTTCTCAATGTTGTTTCTATGACGTGGGGAAAATGTGGTAAGTAATTCAGACTCAGATTTTTTGTTATTTAGACCACCTAACAATCACACTAACTATGTATTCCAAAAATTATGCAAATGACGATGACAAAGATTGCAACAGTGAGTAAAATATAATAAATATACTATTGAGATGTTATTGTAGGAAACACCATGAGATAAAAATGGTGTTTTGCAGCGTATCCAATATCCTGTGATGTTAGCTTATTATACTGTTGCTACTTTAACGTAATTCAAATTACAAGGCAAAGTCAACAAAAGTTCCCTTTTACAAATCATTCTCTAATTTCCAACACACAAAAACTTTCAGGCCGGCTGTTTTAAAGTTTGCAACGGGGTATTTTAACGAGTAACACCATAACTTGCCTCTCAATAAAACAAGAAATCAATCGCTGATTGGCTACTCGCGCTGTCAATCGCTTGACTGGTGTATAATGAGTGAAAATGGTTTTATTTCTCCACACAACTATGAATCATGTAGGGCTGTTTAATTTTATTGTCGTACATCAATTTCAATCAAGCGTTTATATACTGCCGTTCAAATAACGACAGACTACAGTGGCGGATGGGGGGGGGGGGTTCTTGGGGTCCGGACCCCCATTGAAAAATTTATTAAATTTGTTTTTGTATAATATAAAAAATCATTAACTTAGTCTGGCGATATATATTTCTTTTTAAAGTTTTACCCCCCCCCCCCCGTCAAAAATCCTGTATCCGCCCATGGACTAGTATGATGGAGACATACTATATTCACGTGTGATATGGTATAGCTAGACTGGCACCATAGTCGGAGTGATTAATTTCTTTTTTTAGTTTCAATAAAAAAAAAAAATCGCGATTCGCAGTTACAGGGCATTTCGCGCTAACACCTTCATTTCGCGAATTTTTTTTTTATTTTATTTAAACTACAAAAACAAATTAATCGCCCCGACTGTGCCAGTCTAGGGTATTGCTACAAAATAATCGTTTCAACAAGCACTCTGCAATGCAAGCACAATGAACACGGATTTCATGCATGACAGTTTGATAGGTGCAAGGGCCTGGCGTTTCAGTGCAGTTGATAACAGATGGATCCAAATTGTTGGGTGTGAAAGGTGCAGTGTCATGAATTAGTTTACGCGTATCTGTTGACCGACTTATTTAGTTGATTATTAGCTGAATTGCTGTGTTATGTCTGGCATCGTTTAGGCAGGCGAGGTCCTGGACGGAACTTGGCTCAGTGATTTGGAACTAATTACGATATAACCGTCGCTATTCTGACTACGATTTCTGACAGTTGGTATCCGTAGTTATTAATGTAGTGAACGATTAATCAAAAGATATGACGTATTCAGTACTTAGTGTGATTGGCTTTATGATTGAAGGTTACGCCCTATAATCTTTTTTCTGCTTTGTAATTGGTTAGAGTTTTGAAAATGAATACAGTTGTTTTAGTTGGTCTTGGTTGGTTTTAGTACTCCACGAGAGACGCAGTGGAGAGTCCAGTCCTGGAGAGCCTTGGGGCGAGTGTTGACGCAGTCTAAGAGAGTCTTGGGTCAGCCTTGCGATAGTCTTGGGGATTTTTCCCCAGGGCGCTGTGTCTTATAGAGTGCTCCACAGACCGACTAAGACGAGAGTTGAACCGTATTTCGTTGTGTGTGTCTTATTTGACTGTAAAGCTTAAGTGAGTTCCCCGATCCACACCTCGAGGGGACGCGATATAGAGACGAGACGAGATTTCCCCCTGACACGTGTGGAGAACCCCCGAGGAGAAGGATTCCCCCCTGATACGTGAGTGGAGATCCCGGGCAGGTGTTTAGCACACATTGACATCCTGTGAAGAGAAGTGAAATGGCGAAGAGGTGTCTTTCTTGTGAACCAAACTAACAGCTCGACGACTCAGAAACTGCGCTTGACGACTAACGACTTTACCAGTATGACACCGACGTACAACGCTGAAGAGATGAAGATTTCAGAACCCCTTACGAAAGACGAGTATCGTCTAGGACTGAATAATTAAGAATTGAGCGACATTAAAGACAAGTTGATGACAAAGAACGACCCGGAATAACGTGACAAGAGAAGAGACGCTTATAGACTTTGACTTTAGCTATCTGTGTATTGCTTAGAGTATCGCTCACTGGACACTGTAACGGCACTGTAACTCAAGACGTTGAACTCTTTTCAGAATCACAACACTATTGTTCAGTAATGTAATGTATTGCTTGCTTTTCCTATCGTTTATCCTTACTGTTTTTTTGATGTTGAATTGTATGTATGTAAGCGCCCAGATCTTTTTTTTTGAACTGATATTTAGTGACATGCGAGGTCCTTTATAATGATTTAAGCGCGCCTCAGTGGACAAGTATTTGCAACACAGTCTTATGAGTTTTGTGAAGTTTTATAGTGTTTTAATGAGTTATGAGTACGGAATATGATGGGAGGAATGATGCCCTCACGTGTTTTTAAGAGTTTTGAGATTTGTCGATGTACAGAGATATCAATGTTTTAAGAGTTGTTGTTGTTTATGTGTTGTTCCGGAATACTTCTGACGCTTTTTGAGTTGAAAGCACCTTTGTAACGTTTTTTAATGTCTTTTTGGAATGAGAGTATGGTGCGCTTATATACGTATTGTTTGATATCGCAAGCTTTTGTTCATGATTGACAGGATTATATGTAACTCAGTAGTTTATATCGTTTTAGCCTTTTCCGTCTTAATTGCCAGAGGAGTAATGTGTTTATATAGCGACATTGTCTTTGCATTCCGTTTCCACGCCGTATGACTTGTGTTTAGATTAACGACTTGTGAGTTCAGTTGAAGTTTATAAGCGTATATGACAGGAGTTTGATTAATAGCTTTTTATTCATTGTTTATTAGTTACCGCTTTGCAATGCTTTAACTGAGAGACGCATCCCTGGTAATCACGTGATCATGCCGTCGACTGCAGCGATTGGCTGATCGCTTGGTTACACCGCCACGCCTTAGTTTTTTTTTACCTTTTGATATAAAGATTGTAACCTTAGTAACGGAGACAGTTCAGCGAAGGGTTACCCTCGGCGGACTGTTTGAGAAAAGTGAGTCGATTGGTAGCCTTTCCCTTGTTTTTTGATTTATAACCATTGATATTTGTGACTTTATAACCATTGTATTTAGACTTATAATCAGTTTATTAATCAGTGTGTTTTACTCTTTTTGATTTATTCCTTTTCTTAGTATTATATTTAACCAGTATGACGATTAGTAGATGACGCTATCTTTGATTTGTGAACATGTTATGCCGGGAGGCATAATCTCAGTTTGGATGAAGGGATGTGTTATGAATTAGTTTACGCGTATCTGTTGACCGACTTATTTAGTTGATTATTAGCTGAATTGCTGTGTTATGTCTGTCATCGTTTAGGCAGGCGAGGTCCTGGACGGAACTTGGCTCAGTGATTTGGAACTAATTACGAGATAACCGTCGCTATTCTGACTACGATTTCTGACAGTTGGTATCCGTAGTTATTAATGTAGTGAACGATTAATCAAAAGATATGACGTATTCAGTACTTAGTGTGATTGGCTTTATTATTGAAGGTTACGCCCTAGAATCTTTTTTCTGCTTTGTAATTGGTTAGAGTGTTGAAAATGAATACAGTTGTTTTAGTTGGTCTTGGTGAGTACTCCACAAGAGACGGAGTGGAGAGTCCAGTCCTGGAGAGCCTTGGGGCGAGTGTTGACGCAGTCTAAGAGAGTCTTGGGTCAGCCTTGCGATAGTTTTGGGGATTTTTCCCCAGGTGCTGTGTCTTATAGAGTGCTCGATTGACCGACCAAGACGAGAGTTGAAACGTATTTCGTTGTGTATGTCTTATTTGTCACTGTAAGTATAAGTGACTTTCCTGATCCCTTACCTCAAGGGGACGAGATATGGAGACGAGACGAGATTCCCCCATGACAAGTGTGGAGAACCACGAGGAGAAGAATTTATCCCTGATAGCAGCCCGAACAGTTCAATGTCAAAATGCGGAATTTTCATGGGGGAATATACAGACACCATCATCAAATATGCATTGCGCAATATTATCTGTGAAAATCCCCTGAAATCCCGAATCACCTGAGATACGTTCGATTTCATCGACAGTGACTTAATACATAATTACAAACAGTCAACATTCGTCTCATACTATTGCAGTGTATAGCACCTCTGAGATTAAAACTTGACCCGCTAAAAGCAATAGAAGGCAAGAGAACTGATGATGATTGTGAGCCATAACTGCCTCAGCACAAAGACTGTTGTGTCATGGACGGGAAAGTAAATGGAAATGTAATGTAATGTTACCTCTGTGTAATTTACAATATATCTGCTTTAACATTCACTGTGAAGGACAATGTAGGAGTTGGCCTAAATGACCGGTAGAGACAAGGCTGGGCAAATTTTGCACAATAGTAGTTAGTTAGAATTATCAGACACGCACACAATACATTGTGGGATATCGAAATATGAATGATATACAGCAAGTTACATTCCCAGGGGTATGATTACATAGTATATTGAAGCAAAAGATTGGCCTATTAGTTTATGAAACATACTCACACATATCTGTACATACCATCCTGTCTTATTGTGTGGTGGGATGCTGTCATGTACAAAATCATAATAACTGAAATGATTTCAGAACGGAAAACTGTTATATTACTGTAAATAATTATGAACAATAACAACTGAAATAAATAATGAAATTTGAAACTATAAACAAGTCACCAAAGATGGCGTAGCCCCAGTCGTCCTGTTGGTTTGTTTTGAATTGTAAAAGATTCTGTAACCTGGTTATGCATGGGTAAGTTTGTCCGTCTTTACCTACTAGTATATTGGTCAAGTATTCTAAAAATATAATGATAGACAGACCAAAATAATATGACATTTAGAATTGCTGCCAGACAGACATATAAGATGTAAATGAATATATGTCTTGAAACCATGTCATTTTCAAGAAATATCAACAGGCAAAGGAATGTGAAAATCAAAAAGGGGTGTCAGT